GGGATGAGTGGTAGTTATACACTCAGTTTACTATATTAATTTTGAAATTCTGAATATTATTCATCATAAATTGATGTCCGATTGGGCATATTCCGGGCCGGACATTTGGAAAATAGTGTAGGACATGTCCGGAATATACGGGCGAAATCCCAACACTTAAGAAACTGAAATTCAGAGGAGAATTCATTGCATACATAAGAGGCTGTTGTCTTTAATCGCTTACTATTTATTACAAATATCGAATCCTAATTAAATTCTCTGATTATCCACTACCCGCATCTTTTTCTGTCATTTTTATCTCAGAAAGTGCTGTACGTCTAACTCTTCATAAAGTTTATCAACTTGTACATCAAGCGCTCAATGTTCGCGTGTGACCTTTGACATCACCCATGCAGAAATTCCTAATCATCGAGCGGTTGATTAAAAGAACCCTTACATTTTTGTCCTGTATACGCTCCATGAGTGTTTTTTGGGGAAAAAATAATTTTTCTAGTAAGATTAGATATCTCTACTTTCCATAAATACCAAAATAACCTTTCTTTTATTAGAAATAACCACCCGATAAATATACTCAGCCAAATTAAAAACTTGACACTCCGGATTTTTGGGACTAGATTTTTAATATTTGGTTTAAGGCAACTATTTTAGTGTTATGTTGTGCACAGACGACCTTGACATCAACAGAAAGCAAGAATACGTCTCGCCGAAAGTCCTTGACATTGATAACGTTCGTGATGTCACAGTACCCCCCAAAATGAAATTCACAGACTTGGAGAACAATCGGAATAAAGTGTTTAGTAACAGTTGTGGCCTCCTCTAGCGTCTCGTACTGCCACACAACGTCTTCTCATGGATCTCAGAACATTAGTAAACACTACCCGAGGAAGATGTCGCCACTGCTCAGCAAGAGCATGTTGAAGGTCCTGCAACGTCAGTGGTGGATTCACTTGCTGACGAACACGTCGACCCAGTTCGTCCCAGATGTGTTCAATAGGATTAAGGTCGGGGCTAAGCGACGGCCAATCCAGGACATGGACACCGGCATTTCTTAAAAAAATTCTGGGTAGCAATTGCTGTATGGGGTCGAGCATTGTCTTGTTGAAACGTCAGTCCAGGCCCATGTCTCTGCATAAACGGAAGAAGAACAGGTTGCAAAATCTGATCCCTGTACTGGACAGCATTTAAGTTCCCTTGGACAACAACAAGAGGAGAACGTCCATGTGCACAAAAAGAACCCCAAACCATGACGCTGCCGCCACCAAATTGGTCAACTTCTCTGACGCATACTTGAGCGTAACGTTCACTTCGTCTGCGGTACACTCGGACCCTGCCATCGGCAAATCTCAAAGTCAATCGAGATTCGTCACTAAAGACAACCGAATTCCACTGTCTTTGAGTAAATCTTATGTGTCTTGTGGCCCACACAAGTCGGTTACGGCGATGAAGAGTAACAATATTGGTCCATTATAGGGCCTCTGAGCTCGAAGACCAGCAGCCTGCAAGCGATTTCGAACAGTTTGTGCAGTTACCTTTCCACCAAACATCTCTCTACTTGTGGAGGTTGCAGTGACAAATCTGTTTCTAAGATGACGTTATCGTATTGCTTGATCTTCCTGGAGTTACATCACACGTGGCGCTCCCGCCCTTGGGCAGTCGGCAATAGTTCCAGTTTGAAGCACTCTCATTCTAAGATTAATTATTGTCTGGCGTGAACAATTAAAGGCTCTTGCAACAGTGACCACAGACTGACCAGCGTAGAGCCTACCTATAGCACGTAGACGTTCTACATTTGAAAGGCGCGGCATTTTCTAACAAAGATGAAAATAACAATTTTAATTTGTTTTTCCAGTTCAAGTTACGTGTGCATGTTCAGTTTAAGCAAACTTGCATCGATTGACCTCACGAGTTTGTGTTTTCACATGTTTTTCAGGTTTTTCATCTTTGTATGCTCAAAAGTAACGTGATCCACGTGACTTTACAATTTTATGAAATTAAAGGCTTCTTACTACTTACTATCGTTAGAAACACTTACCAGAAAAAAAAATTTGTTGAAATTCATCAGTGTCAAGTTTTTAATTTGGCTGAGTATACTTTTCTGGGAACCCATCTTTAATATACAAAATTCCCAATAATACAATTAGAGCCATCCTTATATTTATTCCCAGCTACCCTGACGTATTTAGTTGAAGAGTGGCTTACGTCAAGTAATAACGATAGGTTGCCAGGCAACAAAACATACGCCCACAGCAGCTAAATCGTCCGAGTGGTCGTCAAGGGTTGTCGCATATTTATTCCTTTGTAGGTAATTGGGGGCCTTTACAAGACAGTTCCATACAGATCAGATTATAAATTTTGTCGTTTGAGGGTTCACAAGGTTCTACAAACTGAAACAAGGGTCTCAACTCTGGAAGTAATCTACAGAAAATGTTGACATTTGACAGGCTTTTTCGTTTTACTAATTTAAATAATGCATATAAATTTCATACAGATCACATGATCACTTTTGTCATTCAAATGTTCACAATCGCCATAACTCTAGAAATTATTGATGGAAATTGCTGAAATTCAATAGACCTATTTCACAAATATAAATGATGCATATAAATTTCATACATATCGGATGATAACTATCAATCATTAACAAGGTTTACCAAAGTGAATAACTCTAGAAGTAATTATTGTAAATTGCTGAAATTCAATAGGCTTTTTTTGTTGCACTAATTTAAATCATGCATATAAATTTCACAAAGATCGGGTTATAACTTTTTGCGTTCACAAGGATCAATAAAGTGAAACAAGGTCCATAACTCTAGACGTAATAAACGGAAATTGCTGAAATTCAATAGGCTTCTCCGTTTCACTACTCTAAATAATGCATATAAATTTCACAAAGATCGAATGATAACTTTTGGCGTTTGAGCGTTCACAAGGTTCAATAAAGTGAAACAAGGGCCATAACTCTAGACGTAATAAACGGAAATTGCTGAAATTCAATAGGCTTCTTCGTTTTAGTAACCTAAATAATGCATATAAATTTCAGAAAGATCAGATGATATCTTTTGATGTTAGAGCGTTCACAAGGATCAATAAAGTGAAACAAGGGCCATAACTCTAGACGTAATGAACGGGAATTGCTGAAATTCAATAGGCTTCTTCGTTTCAGCAATCTAAATAATGCATATAAATTTCAGAAAGATCGGATGATAACTTTTGATGTGACAGCGTTCACAAGGATCAATAAAGTGAAACAAGGACCATAACTCTAGACGTAATAAACGGAAATTGCCGAAATTCAATAGGCTTCTTCGTTTCAGTAATCTAAATAATGCATATAAATTTCAGAAAGATTGGATGATATTTTTTGACGTTAGAGCGTTCACAAGGATCAATAAAGTGAAACAAGGGCCATAACTCTAGACGTAATAAACGGGAATTGCTAAAATTCAATAGGCTTCTTCATTTCAGTAATCTAAATAATGCATATAAATTTCAGAAAGATTGGATGATAACTTTTGGCGTTAGAGCGTTCACAAGGTTCAATAAAGTGAAACAAGGGCCATAACTCTAGACATAATAAACGGAAATTGCTGAAATTCAATAGGCTTCTTCATTTCACTAATTTAAATACTGCATGTAAATTTCAGAAAGATCGGATGATAAATTTTGGAGTTAGAGCGTTCATAAGGTTCAATAAAGTGAAACAAGGGCCATAACTCTAGATGTAATAAACAGAAATTGTTGAAATTCAATAGGCTTCTTTGTTTCACTAACTTAAATATTGCATATTAATTTCACAAAGATTGTATGTTAACTTTTGGCATTAGAGCGTTCACAAGGTTCAACAAAGTGAAACAAGGGCCATAACTCTAGACGTAATAAACGGAAATTATTGAAATTAAATAGGCTTCTTCATCTCACTAATGTAAACAACATATATCAATTTTAAAACAATTGGATGATAACTTTTGGCATTCACAAGATATGGTGGACGATGGACGGACGGACGGACGGACCGACGGACGGACGGATGGACGGGGGCGACGGCAATATACGTCCACATTTCAATGTGGGCGTTTAAAAAAGGTACAACCAGGTCCTAACAACCTCAAATATCCACATTACCGGCTCACGTGACAAATACTTATAAGCCCAAAAATATAATCCCTAAAAAACATAAATTAACCTATCCTTCACCCGCTTTTAAAATTTTTAGTTTGCAGCGCCAATGAAGTGATTTACAAAATGAAAGAAGGTTAGAAAGGACTATTGAGATCTACCCATCAGAAGACTATAAAATACCGGTATATAAAATCACCCGGTCTGCTAAATAAGCGACCGTTATACACAAATCAACTGGTCTGCTAGACAGGCGACCATTTCTAATCTGCAATAAAACACACCCCACTTCAGCTAATCCACCCTCTATAGTATATAGACCAACAGTACGTGCACTCCTAGATTATACAAAGAGTTTGGGCGATCCATATGGGTAGCCCAGTTTAGGCAACCCATCAATGGGGTTGAGTTTGGCAGAGCCAAACCTACTCTCAACGTTAGAAACCTGGGGTCTGTTTCACGAAATTTTAACTAAGATAAAATCCAAATTTTAGTAATTTGATTGGATAATATTAGATTGATTTTAGTGCTAAGCCAATCAAAATTGAAATATCTACTAAAATTTGGATTTTATCTTTAGTTAAAATTTCGTGAATCAGGGCCTTGTCAAGTTACAAAATCACTACAGGTACTGTGTCTGTTACCGTATCTGTAGGAAGGGTCACATGTGACCTTTGCACACAAAAAAAGTTGAGTTAGTTGGTTGGAAAATAAAATGGGTATATGCTAATTAATTAGATTAAGATACTCATAGCTTTATAAGTTGAACAAAATTTGTCCTTTTTTCTGTCATTGAGTGTAAACAGCATGACGACATACTCATACATAATTACATGTGTTTTAAGTTTGGGTTTTCTTTCCAATCAGTTGCGTTTTTGACTCACCAAAAATTGATGTAAGAAAAGCTCCCGAGCACGAAGCAATCATTTGTTGGCAAGGAGTAATTAGAACTCCATGCTTTTGTATATTATCTTCTGTTGTCATCTTTTAATTTGCAATAAGCTACTATAGTTTTTGTCTAACATGTTTCGTCCAAATATTAACTTATTAAGGTTATTTAACAAGTTTCCAGTGAAGAAATAGTTACTTCCCTTTACTACGAAAAGATAAATGGTTGAATAATAAAAAAGTTTATGAAATTCTCCAAAGAAAGTAATTGTTACAGAGCAAGATGAATATTGTTCTAGTAAAACTGAAACATATTAAAAGGTAACTGATAAATGTACGATAATCCATCTCACAAATATAAAGAAGCATAAGAATCAAATGTTTTGCTGGAATACGAAACTAAACACCTTAACTCTGAGTAAATGGACGGAGCAGACATCGTGAAGTAAAATTTGTTGGACTGATAATTTTTCTACGACCTAATTAAACAAAGACAGGTGTTTCGATATGGCTTGTAGTGGGTTTAGTTGTTCAAAAAACACATTAACTTTACTCAATATTTTGTATTTTGTAAGTATGATTTCTAATTACGTTGTTTTGTCGCAACAATATTATGTCATTAGGACTGTCTCAGTCTGAACTAGATAACAAACCATAATCTGTCAACCCTCCGTGTTTCGAGATAAGACATGAGGCCATTACCTATAACGTTGCACCTGCGGGAGCGATTCACACCCAGCATTTTTAAGCAAAATTGACAATAGTTTTAATCAAAACAACGATTGATTATTGTTATATAATATTTCTACAACACCCTACTACAATTAAGCATATAATCCTACCTGAAACGGGTACAAATCGTCGTTTTTAAAATCGAGGCGTTAAGCCGTTACTAAGACCGCCATCTTTTTAAACGATACGCTGTCATCATGAAGGCGGGGCTAAATATAAGGCTTTTATAACAGCCAATCAAAAGGACAATTGAAAACACAGTAACTATGAATGGATTTCGATGGCGGTGAAATGTCAGACAAAAACAACGCTTCATTAATTTAAACGCGAATATTTGGAGTTAGACGACAGTTGTGCTACTACATTGGCCTCTGTAAGTTTAATTAATCATAATAAAATAAAATAAAACCAAGTACGAACAATCCAAACCAAAAGACAGAATTCGAAGTCCTAAAAAACGTTATTGGCAATATAGTGTATTCCAGCTAAATAGTGTAATCAGCAAATATCATAAACTTATCTATTTTAAAGATGTTACATGCATTAATAAAGAAATTGAGTTTGCCACTTGGAACTAAAGGCATCCAATCGTAGCTAAAAACAAACACATCAGTATATCTCAATGTTTTTGGCTACGTTCTCGTAGCTAAGTCTGAACCATCGTAAATTTTACGAAGTGGATATTTAACCGTATACGGCAAAGTATCTACTTCCGCTATTTTACCGTACATCGTTTCGGCGCAGAAGCACGATTTTACAGGTAAAACATAAACCACTGACAGTCTTAGTACTTAAATTAAAACCAAAATCCACAGAAATGCGCCCTCGACCAAAATAGAATAATATTCTAAATGCTTTTCTACAATTTACATTTATTATCTTATTTTCTTTTAAAAATAATTCTCCAGTTTCTACCATAGAAATTCAAGAATGGCTATTTCGTTCCTTTAAAAGAAACGGAAAAAGAAGCAATGTTAGACAAAGAACGATTAGAACTGTTGGGTTAGGGTTAGGTTTTGGGTTATGGGTTAATGTCAGGCGCCAAAGCGAAACTGCTAAGTCCAGGTATCAGAGAACTGCGCATGTTAAACGGAAGCGTACGGTAAATAAAGTAAAGTGCCGTTTACGGTTAAATATCCACTGTCTAAATTTTAAACGGATTTCTTCGATTATGAACAAACTACTTGACTTTGGTTATTATAAACCTACATGTGTGTTTGAAATTGCCAAGGGCTGTAACTACGTAGTTAAACTAGCTCAGAGCAACGACGGGGGCAGGAAGTTTTCTCGGGGGTGCCTTAATATTGACGGACAATGCATATCTATTTTTTTATGGTTGAAAATTTTTTCACAGGGGGGGGGGGGGGGGCGAAACTTTTTGCAGAGGGGGCAAAGCCCCCCCTGCGCCCCCCCCCCTAGTTACGGGCCTGAAATTGCCTCCGGTTAAAGATACATTATGGGAGATAAGATGAAGAGATGGCAGTTCTCATTATAATAGTTAAAAACTAGATAGTGTAAAGGTAGTTTGCTGAAAATTTCAGTCAAATTGATCCACTATGAGCCGAGAAAGAAGCGTGTGAAATTTTTGCATAGTCTCAGTCATCATTACTAAAATCATTAATATAAACAGCATAGTCTCGATTATCCACTTTTTCTGATTTAATTATCACTGGCCGTTAGCGGCATATAGGAATCTAATCCAGCCAACATCGAAGGCTAGCCTTGACATCAAGAGTTTATTATGGTCTGGATAAGTTAATTAATGTCTAATTGATAATTTAGATAACATTTCAGGCCTAAAGAAAGACTTGTAATAAGCAGATTTTGCTCTTGCATAATGCATGTTTAAATAAAATACATTGTACAACTAAATATCCCAGCGAATAAAAAAGTTCTCTCTTGTAAAATTGAACTCCTCAAAAACTTGACATCGAAAAATTCAAAAATGGAAGCTAATAATTTTAAATCATTATGTTAGGGGTTTCAGGTCAAAGTTTCAAATGACAGAATTTTTTTTTTTTTAAATATTTTGTGAAAATATACATAAAATGCTACCCAAATTTTTATTTCATCAAGATATTCTAATTAGGTCCAAAGTTACGGAATTTTTAAATCCGAGATCGACGTCAATAATGTAATCAAAAGGCAGTGTATATTTTACCGTCCGACGGTTCTTTACTTTATTTACTATTTAGCCATCACTTCTGTTTTACTAGCTATGAGAACGTAGCTAAAATCGTTGAGATATACTGATGTGTTTGTTTTTAGCTACGATTGGATGCCTTTAGTTCCAAGTGGAAAACTCAATTTCTTTATTAATGCATATTACATCTTTAAAATAAGATGAGTTTATGCTAATATGATTAATTAAACTTACAGAGGCCAATGTAGTGGCACAACTGTCGCCTAACTCCAAATATTCGCGTTTTAATTATTGAAGCGTTGTTTTTGTCTGACTTTCACCGCCATCGAAATCCATTCATAGTTGAAATGGTTTAGATTGCCCTTTTGATTGGCTGTTATAAAAGCCTTATATTTAGCCCCGCCTTCATGATGACAGCGTATCGTTTAAAAAGATGGCGGTCTTAGTAACGGCTTAACGCCTCGATTTTAAAAACGACGATTTGAACCCGTTTCAGGTAGGATTATATGCTAAATTGTAGTTAGATGTGGCAGAAATATTATAAATAACAAAAATCAATCGTTGTTTTGATTAATAATATTGTCAATTTTGTTTACAAATGCCAGGTGCGAATCGCTCCCGCATGTGCTACATTGGAGTTAATGGCATCATTTCTTATCTCGCAACACGGAGGGTTGAGAGGTAAGATTTATTATCTACCGTTTGACATGCGCAGTTGTCCGATTCCTGGACTTACAGTACACTTCTAGCGGAAGTACTAATTTTCTCCGAGGTCCGACCTGGGCAGAAATGAAAAATCGCGGACGTCAGTTAATCAATTCACTCTGGCCACGCTCAAAATTCCGCTCTAAATTTCCTCCGCGAATTTAAGTAAACCGCCGACCTCCGCGATTATTTTAAACCGCCGCCCACCGCGATTATTTTAAACCGCCGCCCACCGCGACATTTTAAAAAGTCGGACTTTCTATGCATGTACAGTCAGCACATCCATAGCTGGTTTGAAATGGGTTTATTTATCGTGTGATTCCACGGCTGTTATATACAGCATGCAAAAAAAAGATTGTTAATTTAACACGGTTAGACACTCAGATTTTACTGGCTTATATTGAAAAATAACAAATATCAAACAGGCTTTTAAATAATAAAATAAACAGAATTATGGCTGTACCGATACATTACTTCATCAATATGTTCGACATTTTTAAGACTTGCATCGATGGACTATTTCAAACTCATTCAAATTACGAAAATTTCAAAGTTTACACACATAGTACATAGATGCTGTTCTTAACGTGGACGAAAGTTTTGTCCATCGAAATAGCCATTTCCATTCTGACAAATAAGTCACACAATGCATTTTAAATTGATAAATCACACCTAAACAAGTAATATATCTTCGGGTTTAAATCACAAATGAATCAAATGCGTTCGTTCGTTCTTGGTGTTTAACGTCTGCTTCCACATAAGTGATATCGCAGACAAGACATAGGAGAGCCAAAGCTGATTCCTGTTTTTTAGAATATGATTTTGCAATCTTTCCATTTGGCCTTAGGCCATGGATTTGGTTTAGTGGGAAGTTCTTCCCTTTATTTAATATAAAACATATCGTTTGGTAGATGATTACGTCTGCTTCTGGATTGGTAGATGTCATCGTTTTAGAGTTTAGGTGGAGGCCCGTCTTATCGTGGCCTCCCCTTACTCCACTATCCCACTCTCTGGGTTTGGTATTAGTTTTATTTGCAGAATAGTGTTTAGGTGCCAAGTTCGTCGGACCGTAACTCCCCCTTACTCCACTATCCTGCTAGTTTGGTAGATGTCATCTTTGTGGGGTTTGTGTATCGTGGCCTCCCCTTACTCCACTATCCCACTCTCTGGCTTTGGTATTAGTTTTATTTGCGGAATAGTGTTTAGGTGCCAAGTTCGTCGGACCGTAACTCCCCCTTACTCCACTATCCTGCTAGTTTGGTAGATGTCATCTTTGTGGGGTTTGTGTTTAGGTGCCAGGCCCGCCTTATCATGACCTCCCCTTACTCCAATATCCCATTCTGTAGGTTTGGTGTCTGTTTTTGGTGGAATAGTGTTTAGATACCGAGTCCGTCTGATCGTGACTCCCCCTTACTCCACTATCCTGCCAGTTTGGTATAAATCCCCTATGTAGTTTAGTGTTTAGATGCCGGGCCCGTCTAACTGTGACCCCCTCTTACTTCACTATTCTACTTAGTCCAACTGTGTCCATTAGGGCGTGGATTTGTTCGAAGATTTGCAGTTTCAGATCTGGTCTCGGGAAGAGTAGGTTCTTAGTGTTGAATGGTATGTTGTTGGTCTCCATTGTTCTCACTAGTTCCCTTCTCTCCTCCTCGTATACCTCGCAGTCTACCAGGACATGGTTGGTGGTACATTCTTCTCCGCACTCATAGATGATGACTTGGTGTTTGTAGTCTTGCAGCCGCTCTTTCACCCTTAGCTTCGATATAAGTCTACAAATATCTCTTCTAGGGTGATTGAGTGTTGTCTTTGTGTAGATCTTGTCATCCAGCCGGAATCTGTATGTGTCAAGTTCAACAAGATTTAATTCCCAGATTGAATTGACCTGTCTTTTGACCATACTGTAGATTTCCGTGGTGCTGTAGTCAATGGCGCGGAGTGGTGCTGTGTCCTTGAGACCTTCATTGACGAGTCGATCTGCCTCCTCGTT